TCTATTGGACTTATGAATTTCTTTCTTTTAATTTACCCGTGATTGTGATTTTTTGCATAAAAATCGATACGTGAATTTTAGAAACTTTTTTTATTTAATAAACGCGCACTTACACACACACACACACACACACACACACACACACACACACGCACACACACACGCACACACACACGCACGCACGCGCGCGCGCGCTAATTCGCAGAATTGCTAATTTGCAGAATTGTTCTATTATGTCAATTTTTTAAGCTCAAAAGAACTAAGAAATATTATTTTTGGCACTTTTTTTATCAATGTATTAATAATAAATAGTAATAATAGAGATAGTAATAGATTAACCTCAATTTTAATTTAACTTACTTTCCATTTTTTTTTATTTCTAAAAAAGATTTAAAAAAGATGAAAAGTCCAATTAAAATTAAAGAACTAATTAAAATTAAACATCAGTGGAAATGGATATAAGTCCAATTTTTTCAAAAATTTGACATAATAGAGCAATTTCATTAATGAATTCGCATTTCTTCAGCAGCAAAAACATCTAGAAGAATTATCTTTTATGATTTGTAGGACAATGTCTAAAATTTGTTGGACAGTGTTAAGGAGAAAATGAGATTTTCTCTAAAGACTCGATGCAAACCATTCGAGTTTCAACAAGTGACTTTATCTTATGATCACTGCTTTGCGATTTATTTTTAACAAAAGATATGAGAATGTAATAGAACGCCTGTTAGCCCATTATTTGAAGTTCCATTATTTGAATGAATTCACTATCCGGATGCTGTATTATTCGAATGTTTGCGTAATATTTACTTTTAAAGAATAGAAACGTATCCTTTTTATGTCGAAATGTTTGTGGCATTATACAAATTACATGAAAATTTACTCCGAATGTTTGCATCATTTTATTAATTTGATCGACTCTATTGTATCTATAAAAATTCTGTATTACATGTAACAGATCACATCTTTTTTTTCATTGGAAAATCTTCGTCAGCGAGGTTTAAACGATTCGTAAATGAGATTTGCATGAATATTCATAAAATACGTACGTAAGAAACATGCGCAGAATATTTTGCTCTGAGTCATTTTTCTCCTCCTAGATAATATCGTTTCATGATATTTCTCAAGCAGAATAAGTCATGGTAACATCAAAATGAATGTGATTGATCAAAAAATGACTTTTAATATTCATTCCTTTTATGTCTTTTAATAGTTTGAAAACATTTTAATATCATGATGACTTTATTCTGCTTGAATTTCTATTTCGAACTATATTGCAACTTATCGCATGTTATCTAATTGTTAAAAACGAAGAAATACTGTGAATGCCATAGTCGAGTGATGATATTATTTTCGTCGATTAGTGCTGTCATTACGCATTACGTGTCGTTTCGTGTCGCATTGTAGTCATGCCAAGTCTGCAAAAGTGCGGTTTTCCGGGATCTGATCACGTTGGGTCAAGGTTTTTCATGACACGATTCATTAATGTCACCGTTGGTTCGAAGACTCATAGTATTGCTGAAGCAATTATTAATGAGATTTCTCGCCGTCATCTGATTGAATGCAAAGCCAGCTTCGTCTCGCAGGGAGCTCAGATTGACGTGCAGGATGTTAATCGCGCGAAGACGGTATTAATACAATGAGATTGTCGGGCAGTGACCCATTTGCGAACAGCAGATTATAGTCTGCTGTCACTTAATAGGCATTAAGGTAATTAGTCTCGAGATTTGTAATTAACAACTTTCAATTGATGATACATTGTACCATCTGATTAAATTTTACTTTAAAAAAATATTAAATTCTTTCTTGAGTATATATTTATACACTAAATAAAGTGTTCGTATTAAATCAAAAGAGTCTAATAAAAATGACATTTTAGTGAAGACAAATATAATAGAATTTCTGAGAAATACAAGAATCATGAATTCAGTTTCATCAAAATCGTGCTATTCATGGGCCCTTTTATTGATTTAATCAGAATATTTTTTTTATAAATTTTTATAAATTTAGACTTTGTGTTTTAATATCTCTGTTCGTGCTGTATAGAAAGCAAATCTAAAAATCTTTTTTCTTTGCAATAACGATTGAAATTTGATAATTATATCTTGACTCTAGAGATACGTGTATAGACACATAATCTATCTTGTGGCTGCCGCGTTATATGCAGCATAAGACACGTGATCATCTCTTGATCTTTCAATAAAACATTATTTCAATTTGCATCTTTATCCTGGATTTCCTATTTGCATATTTATTATCTAATTTTGTATTTATAAAATAAACAAATTGTGTTTTATTTGTTGGTCGCGATTAAAAGTTAACAATGAAGAGTCGGCAGATGATCCGAAAACTTAGATTTTATTTATTTTCGGAAACTTAGACCGGTATTCATAGTCCGATCTTATTAATTATATGTATATCTTCAGAAAATCGTATTTTCTGATAAGCAATCTTGTTCAATTTACAGAATTCTTCATCAGAAGCATTTTTAAAGATCGTATTATGAAGAAAAAATTTTACTCGAACGGAATCAGTGTTTTAAAAGATTAAAACTTAAGAAGATCTGAAATAAGAACGGATTATCTGTACTAGTTTATGATATTGATTAGTTTATGACAGTCTTAAGACAGTCTTAAATATAAGAACTAATGATATTTAAGACCGTGATATTTAAGATTGTATTAATAATCCGTTCTTATTTCATCTTAAATTTTAATCTTTTAAGACTCAGACACTGATTCCGTTCGAATAAAATTTTTGTTGTATTCTAATTTTATTAATTTGATGACCATATCGGTTATGTTATCTTTGTTCTTAGATCAAATGTGAAATATATATTATATAAGTAACCGCAATACATAATTTAGATTTTGCGGGAACGAATAAGACACGAATAAGACTCTTAGGGATGATGAAATAACTGGCAATTCAATAATATCTTATATCCTGCAATTTTCTTAACGTTCTGCAATTTCACCTGTCTGTAGAACTTACATTCACAAATGAGTTTAAAGTATCATCTCTTTTTTTCTGTAAAAAGTCAAGGATAAAAACATACAAATTTATCTCAAACATACAGTATGAACTCAGTCTTGAAATATTATAAATTTTAATTTATGTAAGCGAATATAAATTTATTATATCATTAAGCTTAAATTCAATAACTGTTCGCTTTTAATTTTTTTGCCATTTTTGTTAATATTTTATGCATAAATTTTTTTTTGTTCTTCAAAGATAAATAATCAAAGATAAATAATAAAATTAATTAATAATTAATAATCTTTCTTAATTAATTTTTATTGAAATAACAATTATTATGAAAAGGCTCAACAAATTCAAAATATATATAAAATCGAGGGCTATGAATATCTTCGATTCAATCGAATAACGAATCAATCACTGGTTCTTATGTGTTCTTAATTTTTATTGATTACTTAATAAAAAACGTTATTGTTACATTTATATATATTTGACTAATAAAATAATCTTATTTTTAGAATAGAAGCTAGTAATTATAGATGACGAGAAGAGTGGATAATAATAACTGTATTCATAGTTAATGATTATGTTATGATCACGTAAGAATGAATTTCATTATACGTAGATTATAGATTTATTTCAACATATAAAATTTTGATATATAACCTACTTTTATGTAAGAGTAAGATAGTAGAAGTTTATTTATCATATTATTAATCCTGTTGTTATTTAATTTGATAAAGAGTTTGAGATTTGATAAGATATGACAAAACTGTGGCTGAATATATTGATCTTACGGAAACTCGCGAAATTATGTCATTAACGCGTTTTCCTTGCTACAAGGGAAAATCTCTTAGAGGGGGTTCCCCTGAAAACCAATTTAGATGCGGCGCTGATACCTTGGATTTTACTTTTAATTCTTTAGATCCGGTCACTTCAAGGTTGATACATTTACGCATAAGTATGTTCACGATTAGGAAGTCATATGTGCAACTTGGCGTGAAGTCACCGTGAAAGTCGGCGAACTACATTTTAAGTAATGAATTTTCAAGCTCGGTTTGTTTTCATTTGCATTATTATTAGCACTGAGTTCCTTCTATATATCTTGAATCTTTGCATCAAAACTGTAATTTAATGTAAATGCGATATGAATAAGATCTGTCGGCCCCGATCACACTGAACTGACTAGATTTGCGAATACTAATTAAGGAAATTTCAGAGCGAATATCAATTAAGATTAAAAAAGAGAGTTATTCGCAATTAAATTACATAAATTACAATTTTTTTAATGAAAAAAAGTAATAATAGCATTTTATCAAAAAAAATCTTGTGATTACTAATGTATCTTATACAACGTTTTACATAATTAAAGCCTTAATATAGAAAAGATGCTTATTAAGCGTTACCTTCCTATTTATTTATTTTACTGTTGAACAAAATTCCATAAGTCAAGGCCAATAAATAAAAAATTGCAAAAATGCTACTTTTCATATATTTACATAAGTAGATAAAATTCCTTATCGTGTGTATCTTTTACAAATAATTTGGCTGTTAATTTTAGAAAATTAATATTTTTTTAAATTTACATTTTAGATATTTACAGATGATACTCACTTTTAGATAAAAGATCTAAATCACTTTATAATTTTAAAATTATAACAAAAATAGATCAAATGGCTCAATAAATTGAAAATAAAGAAAGTATTTAAGAAGAGCTATGAGCCAATGAACAATTTTCAATGTATGTTTATTTTATTGTAATAAACGTTTTGATCTCTTTATCACTGAGGATGATTCGATTTATTAACTCGTAGCCCTTCTTAAATACTTTCTTTATCTAAAATTATAACCAGAAGAATAATTGTTTACGTAATAACGTTCTTCCCATTTGAAAAAGAACTTGTAATGTTATATCGGGATTGAAAGAAAGATAATTTTTATCCGAGATATTCCGCAAATCAGTAAAAATTAAATGTAAAATTAAATACTTAAATTAAATTAAAATTTTAAAAAGAACAAACCTTTTTCCATTTTCCACGTGCTCGGAAACTGCCATTTCAATTGGACCCGCTCGTCGTTCAGTTTTTTCGTCTTCACACATGCCGACTCTCTTGCATATCGAAGGACGTAAGCGATATGAGGATGGCCTTCTTTCAAAGTAAAATAATGTACAATCAGATTCTTGCGCGATCGCGAAGATAATTATGATTTTCCATCACTTGTTCTTAACATATTATATATAAAGATTGATTGAAATTGATTGAAATTTGCTTATGGGCTAATATATGTATATTATGCAGTGTTGTAATAAATATACCTTTTGAAAGATATCTAAGTATAGATACAGGTGGGAAATACACCGTGAGAAAAGTATCTATTTATATAAATACATCTTTTAAAAATTTAATAGAGTTTGCGTTACAAGACCGAAAAATCATTTTAAAGGACTGCATATGTAGTAATAAATTCGTACATAAATTCATACAGAATCATACAAGCACGTAAAGAATTATACAAACACTTAAAATTCAGCTAAATCCCGTTTAAAACATTGATTTCTAGGTTGTGTTCTCAACATAACATATACGGTCCTATAAGATATTATATCTTTTAAAAATTATCTAAGTACAGATACAGGTACAGATGTACCTAAAAGATTTAGTTATTTTTTAAATACTGCTAATTAAAAAAAACTACAAATATTTTTATTTTACATCAAACTATTATGTACTTATATAGTACTCATAAAAATGTTTGGATTGTGTTATTTTGTTATGCGTTTTTAAAATTGATAATATTTTAAACACTATATTGCAAAGTCGATTTTTTCTGGGGATTAAAATTAAATTTATAATATAATATTAATGTATACAACGATATATACATAATCCAAGCATCTGTTTGTAAATTGTAGGAAGTTTAATCGGATCTATAATTCGTTGCGTCTGTTTCTATCTTTAGAGAAAACAAAGATAACACGGAATCTCAACAATCATTGATGATCACTTATGTAAATTTCCGGCTTCATCTTTTATCATTAAAAAATATGAGAATGTTTGATCTATGTATATGTATATATTAGGGATATGTGATCTCGATTCAATCTTCTAAAAGATTGATGCAGAAAAAGACCGATTTTTTAATCAATTTGCCATAATCCGATTTCAAAATAGATCGAATTCATTTAATAACAGATCGAACTTCGAAGTGTAGGGGTAAATTCGGAAATTCAAGATATATCATATCATCCCTGTTGCTCACCGAATGTTAAACAAAAGGATAAAATGATACTACTAACACCGTTGATTTGATTCTGACAAGTATAGACATTTAAAAAGTTATTTTTACGTAATAATTATTATTGTATTTTTATTGCACTATTCAATAAATACATTTTATTCAACAAATACGTTTTTTATATACAAGAAAAAAGATTTAATATAGAATATTTTAATTTAGATCTCTATATTTTATTGAAAATTAGTCCTATGATATATTCCAAAGAATCTAAAGTTGTAATATATCATTATCTGTGCCTACGCTTACGTTTACACGTTAACCGGTTAACATTAATCGGGTTTAATAATATTTGTAGTTATAATTAGTAATTATTACAAAATGACAAAATGTATAAATAAATGTTAGTTAAATTCTAATTTATAATATCAATTGACAATTGTTATAAAACCGAATTTAATGCATTTACGATATTTCACCGATTTTACATCAAGTTGATTTTCATTTGTCAGAACTACAGATGTTAGTTTAATCTAGATTTTTAAATTAAAATTATTTTACTCGGAAGCAAATTAAAATTGTGTTTTAATTGTTTTTAAAAACAATGCAGAGATGTGAAGGGCACATAAAAGTCAACATAATTAAGCATGTAATTTTTCAAAAAGTATTTGACTGCCTTACTGATTACATAATTTTAAATTCCAAATTTTACTTCTTGACACACATATAATTTATTTCTGTACTTTATTTCTGAATGTGTACGAATTTTAGAAATTTTTCTGATGGAAATTCATTTTCTCACATCATCATCGATGTTTCAATTGCTTTGACAAAATAATTTATATAAGAAAATGAAGTTGAAGCTGACGGTGAGTATTACACTTGAATAAAATTATTGCTCGCTTTAAACATTTTTAACATCATTTTCTTCTTTAAAACAACGAGAAATTCTAAACATTCAGTCTGTAAACCGTTTGCAAGTAGTCTTCTCAATTTTTTATGTAATGTACATCCATTTGTCAATAAATTTGAACATCGTCTATATCATCAGGAAAATCTTAATCTAAAATTGGATTGTCCGGAAAGTTCGTGCCAATTTTGAAGAAAAATTGAAATGCAGAAGATTTAAATTTTAGTATACATTTATTAAATTATATAGAACTTTTCGGATAATCCAATAATATGTTGACTGCATATTTGTAACGAGTGTCTAAAGATGACTCAATGAAGAAGCCGAAATATGTAATGCGTATTTTATCGAATTTTTATACATTTAATAGATTATATTATAGAATATAATATATTAATATATTATATTATATTATATTATAGAACTTATATACATGTTTAATTATGTTGACTCTTATATGCCTTTCATATCTCTGTATTGTTTTTTAAAAATCTAAGAGTCCTTTTTGTTAATTGTTTTTGTTGAATTTATACAATGTCAGTGAAAAATGACAATGAAATCAATATCAATTCGACTGAAATTATCAATTTCAGTAAAGAACTTATTGCGAAAAATATTACCTCAGCTAGGATATGAACGGTAGGACTTCTCGATTTTCCGGGGTAAGTGTTCTAGCAAACTCGACCACTGAGGCTTCTATGTCAGTAATCGAGTTAGCTGGGACTCGTCCCGGAAAGTTGAGAGGTCCCAGTTCGTATCTTGGCTGAGGTAATATTTTTCGCAATAAGTTCTTTACTGAATTAATTTAGGGGGGATTATACTTCATATATAGGAATGTCCGAATGTTTCAGTGCCTTATCATATTTATATTATCAGATTGATTGTATTTAATAAATCCGAAATTCGGTCACGTCTGAAATTAAATTTAAACTAAGATAATTAAATTAATATGTTGTATTCATAACATCCAATTTTGACCGATTATTGGCGTTCTCTATCATATTTATGATTCAAAAATTGTTGCAAACGAATTTACTTTTGCAAAGAATTGCGAGAACGAATATTCATACTGAGTTTAATGTATTCACGTTAGAGATGGGCATACCATCGATGTTTTTGAACATTTTTTTCTCGATATTTTGTCTTTCGATATTGATATGTATTGACATTTGAATAGGAATCTTAAACTTCCGATATGGTCCATTAAATTCGTATTAGTTTAGTAACGGATCAGATTGAGATCAGATTGAAAATTTTATTATCATATTTATTATATGTATTATAAGAATAAATATATAATGAAAGATTAAAATTATATAAATAAATAAAAATTAACATAAAAAAAAATAAAAAAAAAATGTAGAAGGATACATATATTATGTATATATGTATTATGTACATATGTATATGTGTAATATACATATATCCTTCTTTTATTTTTATTTTTTTTTATTTGTTGTATATATTTGAAATAAAAAGTAAAATGTAAGCTTATACATACGTATAACATATACGTATGTGTATGTATTTCAATTAATATTATCCCATATAGTACAGACCTCCAAGGAATGTCCTAAAAATATATACAGTGAACGTTTATATATCCTAAAAATATTTCCAAGATGTCTCTCGAATAAAGTGGTGTATGGGATATATATAATATCTCTATAATATATAGTACTAATTGCTAATAAAATAATGTTTTAAAAATTCTTATTGGAATAATTATTTAAAAAGATCTCTAAAATAGCCTCAAAAACGATCTCCAAACGTTATTTTTACAGACAGATCAATATTTTACGCATCAATACGCACATCGGTGCGCGTATTATATAAAACCAGAAATATCGGATCCGTGTTGATAATTTACAAATTATCTAATTGATATTTTGGTGTATTTCTTCAATATTTCTGCTACCGATACAAAGCGATAAGAAATATCGAGATTTTTTTGTTCATTCATCTTTACCTCACGTTCGATTTACCTCAGCTTCAATCCACATTTGCATAAAGCGTGATTTTAAGAAGCAAAAGCGTTGTAGATATCTCGCATGGAATAGGTAAAAAGTAAATGTAAATGAATAGAAAAAGATGGAAATTTATTCTATATAAAGTTTATCTAATCTTCGAAATAAAAAGTGGTGCTAAAAACATGATTATACAAAACTGTCACGTATGATTAATGATTAATGGTAATTATTAGTTAATTGGATTTTAATTGGATACGATTAATTTATTTAACTATTTATGATTGAAATAAGTGATTTTATTAGTAAAAAAGTTGATATGTGGAATGTTATGACAAATTTTATTTATTTTCTTTATGTTTAATTTAGAGTATAGTTTCTTTTAATAAATGTATTAATCCTTCGGTTCCACTTGTATGATATATACTCAAGATTTCTTGCTTTGCGCTATGTTATAGATTTTTTATTAATAAAGACATTTATATCTGCTTATTATCGTTATATTTCTTAACACGTTTCGTATCACGCCACCGTTTGATCTATTAAACTTTCCGTTTAGGCTGGTAATTTAGCTATAAAAAAAAACAAAATTATAAAATAAATTTTGCAATATTGATACATTAGATCTTTTTTTAGTCAAAGTAATTCAGTTTTTCAACCATTCATGAAATATGTTATTTAATAAACATAACAGATAAGCAAAAATAGTCACTGATAACGCACGTGCAATATTGGTCAAGTCATTTAAAATTACCTAACATAGTACGTGCGCTAATGGATGCTTCTCAATTACTCAACGTTTTAACCCAAACATATATCAGAAAATATGCAAAACCAGAGAATATGCACAAAATATAATTATGCAATGTGCACAACTTAATTAAAACAAAATATGTACGCTATGCACGATTTCGAATAGAGTTAAGTTAATTTTTTAATACTACGCCCATGCTTTGGTATTTTGTGATCTATAGTAATTTTCCGTATTTTAATCAGAAAAACAACTTATAAAAAACTCATGTAACATTTTAGCTTTTTTCATCTGTATTGAATAAAAAAAAAGCAAAAGTACGATTTTCAATTTCACTCATAGATTAGTAATATTTATATTAAGATCATTCTAAGATATCTTATGAGCATCAATATAATTAAATTGCTTGTCAATTTAATTTGTGGTATTACTATTCTAGTTATGTTAATTGCATTTCAAGACTGAAAATAAATTCGGCGCGCAATTTGAGGGATTGGATATGAGTATATAGATTCAAATAGAATTATTTCAACGCTAAAGCTTGATCATTCAGAGTCTTTATTTCCGATTTGTTATGTAGTAACATTTAACTGTCATTAGAAAAAACGGAAGCTTATATATAAGTCGAATAATAGCTCTTGGACTAAATAGTGTTATGTCGGTGATTGCGGCAATTGGAACACAATTTGTGCCGCTGTATAAAAGTATTTAATTTTACAATTGGAAAGCACTTGTTGTTTTGATTAAAAAAAATTTATAAAATTATTATAAATTTGTTCATTTTTATGCAATAGTTTTGTACATATAGTAGATACGTGGCGACAAAAATGACATCATAGAGAAAAAGATTTCTTTGAATCTAGTATTCTTATTTGACTAAAATTTGTTTCATTGAAACAACATATGCTTGTGAAATATTATTTGTTTGAATAAAAATTTTGTTCATTCGAGGAACTTCTATTGCTTGAAACAGAAATAACATTATTATTTAAAGTAATATCTTTTAATTAAATAATGTATTTAGTTACAATAATTAATAAAAAATAATTAATGAATATTAACAGACAAAATATATTGATAGAAATTGTTTCATGCAAATAATTGCTTTCTTAGAACAATCATCATTACATTTGTTGGCAGAAAATATGGAAACAGTGGCTTATACGTCTAACAACAGGATTAAACGAGCAGAAACATAGCTTTTGCTATGTACTATATCAATTATGTTTGTGCCGTACGATTTGATCACGCGGTACGGAAAATAGACATTATCTGTTCAAACAAGTAAGTATTTAAAACAAAGATACAGCTACATTGTTTCAAATTCAAACAATCGCACTTATTGATTCAAACATTAGCTTGTTTGGACAGCTTGTTTGGACTATTCCAAATAACAAATTGATTTGAATACAATAAAATTTATTAAATCCAAAAAAATCTTTTTTTCTATGATATACAGTGATATCAAAGGATTAAAATTATAAGTTTTTTAATTATAAATGATTAATTATAAATGATTAAAAATTGAGGATTCTTGTGACCAATTCTTCTTATAGTAATAGTTAACTTTTGTTCTTCATTTGATATCAAGTAAAAATTACTTTAAAACACTTTTTAATTAAAGGTTTTTAATTAGTTAAAAATTATGAAGTTTTGAAAAAAGGTAGTATCCAATTAAAGTTCTGTCGAAGAAAAATCAATTACAAATTATAAAAAGTCCACAAATAAAGTTTGTTAGCAATACTTTATGTATATAATTAGTGAATGTAGAAATTTATACAAAAAATTAACGAATTGATGCATTAAGTATACGATCTCAGAGAAACGAATTTCTCTCGATCAATTTCAATTCAAGTGTGTCAAGAAGGTTCTTGTACTCAAAATTATTCCTGTTGTACTCACCTGATTGAGGATGTAGTCAGAAGCGATCAATCCTCTCGTCGTTTCTTTTACTAAGACAAATTTTGATCAGCTTTGTGTTAATTAAAATGGAAACGCTTCTTCTTCATAGAGTGATTTTTTTCATCGAATTGAAGCGTCCTATGAATTTCAAGTTCAAAGAATTATCGCATTCGAATCATCATGAAATTCGAATTATGTATAACAGTTTCTTGTTTATTCTTTATTTATCAGATGACGTAAATTTAATAATTGCATAAATTTTTCCTGTTATGCAAGTAACATGTAGTTAAACATAGTAAATTGAATGCTTTTGCATGCAATGTTTGCCATTGCTCTTTTATAAATTTGACATTTTCCAATTTATGTTTGTTTCTTCTTGATTATTTTATTTTGTTTTTCCTTTGGAACTTTATAGTTCGTTAAAAATTCTTGTGAATTATTCTTGTGAGATTATAAAACCGATCGAATAGAAAATTACTTTTACACTTTCAGATTCAATTTCAACTATTCAATAATAAATTTTATATATAGTATGATTAAAAAGATGTCAAGGGAACTATAAATGAGAGACCTCTAAAATCAGTATATAATCGTTTTGATTGCTTTTGCTATGAACAAAACAATTGATTTATTTAAAATTCTTAGTGAATTCTTAGTGAGTTTTCAGTATATAGATATATTTGAATCGTCTCTTTTATATCTCTTATGAATTTATATAAAAATTTTTCCAATCGAGTGTCACACTTTTTTCCTTTCTCACACACATTTGCTCGGTTATCGATTTAAATTTTTATACAAAATACTTCCGCAATGATTGCGAACTGTAAAGTATTTTTCAATTTCTTCCTTCTTTTTTAATATTAGAAGTAAGTCTTTCTTATATTACAAGATAATAATTAATCTCAGTTCTCAAAGAAGAAAGAAGAAAATACCATTCACGAGAATTTCGTTGCGGAGAGATTTAGTATTCGTTTCTGTCGCGACAAGATCTGGGAGAGCTGAGGTGAAATCGCGAAGTAAAAGCTTTAGAGAGAGAGCAGGGAAAAGATTACCGATTTACATTAGATCGGGTCTTCGCGACAGACTAAACGTCGCGCAGCACGAAAGCCGTGAGCTAGCTGCACTTTCGATTTTGAGCTCCCTCCTTCGACACCTGCCTTCCTCCTAACAGAGGTTGTAGGCGAATAGGTATATATTCGCGCGCGTACGTGTGACCTCTCTTCCTCCCTTCCCTTGCCTCGGTCATTTGATTGTGATTACACCCGCAGCACAGACGATTATAAGATCCGTTAGTACGATGGAGAACGGAGAGATCAAGCGGGATCAAGTGGTTGCTGAAATTAAGAATATTGAATTGAAGCGTGTGCGAAATTAGCACCCTAAAATTAATATTCCATAATTCTAATTCCAATTCATTTGGAAAAGAATTTCTTTGTTTTTATTTATCTTCTTCGTTTACTTTTTCATTTTGAGAACACTAAGAGACAAGATAATTTGTCAAGTCTCTTTAAATTGTAAGTAGTGTTTGCACAAAAGACAATTTTATCAAAGTTCTTATAATTACAATTAGATATAATCCCTAGTCGAATATATTAAGAGAGGTTCAATTTTTTTATACTTGTATAGAATAATGTATTCTTTTTATAAGATACAAATTAACATTTTTATGAAGAAATTTATCATATTTTTTGAAGAATTTATTGAAATTGTATTGTTGCATTATATTGTTATATATTCTAGCGCTCTAATTTATAACTTATAATAATTTATAAGCGAAATTCACAAATAAAGTAATTAATTTCAACAATACAATTATCAATAGAAGACATTAAACATTTATAAATATAAGAATACAACATAAGAATTATATTATAACATTTGTCTTTCTAACAATTAAAAAGCATTATCTGCTTTTGATAACAGTATTGATAGATATATAATTTTTTTTCTATAAAATTCTTCTTGAATCACCTTGACTGATTATCTTTTATGACATTAATATTCAAAATGGAAATATCACGGAAATAGAAATACAAGAATAATTTCTTTAAATAATTTTTAATTTAAAATTATAATAGTTGTTGAATGATTGATTACTTTTTCTAAAAGACAGTATTCGAATGTATTCTTAATTACTATATGGATTTAAGATTGATGGATTATATGACGACAATACTAACATACCGCTGCGAAATGATAATGATATACCGCTGCATGTGACGTATGTATTGTATTGTTCTCTACAAATTGAAATCGTGTCTGCAATCTATTCTAGGAAATATTTTTGCATTATTTCTAACAAAGCCAATGAAAAAATCGATCGCAGACGAATTTCATTGACTATTTTTATATCTCCATTACTCCTTATTTCACTACTTCTCTTTTATCTTCATATACAATCTTACGTATTCATTATCTCGATGATGTTATTTAATATGCTTGAATTTATTTGTTTTTATATTCATCAGAGATTGCACGTGTATATATATATGTACAGACCTATATAAAAGAATTTATTTTAATGAAATCAATTATGCTCCAATTTATTGATTTCCAATTTATTTATGCTCCAATTTATTAAAATTTATTGATTGATATGGCATCATTTTTCGGTGTATTATTGCAAGTGGAATGTGAACTCGGCGAAATTGCTTCTGTTCGAATATTTATTTACAATATTGTTACATACGACGCAATATATTTTTAAAAGATACATAAGAAATAAATTATTTTACAGAAGTTTACTTGACTGATGCACTAAAATAATTTCTCGCGAATGTTCTAACAAAATAAGAAATCAAATGTCAAAGGTTATTATCATATTTAATTATATTTAATTGGTAGATTACGCTGCTGTCATCGATCAGTCTTTTCTTTTAATTCTTATTTGTTCGTAACAATGCAATTAATGTTATACTACTGTTTTACAGTATACGAGGTAGTGACAACATTAATTGGCATAAAGATAATATGAAATTTGCACATACATTTGCACATATTAAAAGTGCAATTTGTTTGCATTGTTTTGCTTGTGTTTATCAAGTTATATAGCTATTATAAATATTAGTATTATACATATCAGATTACTTTACAATACCATATTATAATATTAATGATTAGATAATTGTAAAAATTAAATATTAATGATTAGGTAATTGTAAAAATTAAAACTGAGTTTCTAGTGATATTTTATTTATCACATTTTAATACATTTTTTTTAGATAATATTGTTATTATATTAGCTAATTAAACTGAGAGCTGAGACAATTTTCAACATATGTTTTTAATGTTGTATACATTTGCATATACTTCGCGATCTCGGCATATGCGATTTTCTTTATTTAAATATATAAATAATTCCTCTAAATATAGATAGTTGAGGAGACTGCAATCACTGTTACAATCGACAAAGTAGGACGGTACTTGTCATTACGTTGAAAATACTTAGAAAATTCATTGCATCAACTCTAAAGCGTAATGATACTAAGAAACGTGTTAGCGACTGTTTCAAAATATAATTATTCAATTAGAGGGTGTAACTAATCAGAAGAGAAAAGTTAGCTTTGAGAGAAGATTTTAAGCGAATATAAATTGCACAATTCTTCGTATCATTTTCTTTCCTTTTATATAATTTACAGTGCGTGATAGCAGGAATACTGTCAAAAAAATCTCAAATTATTCGATGTCAATTGATCATTTCCGATAAAGATCAGTTGATAATCAATATGACAAGGCATAAATATAAAATGAGGTGAAATGAATGTATATTAAATATAGCAGCTTTTATTAAGAACAATATATTCTCTGTACTGCGCATACAATTTCGGTGTAATCAATCTTGTTAATTAATCAAATAAATAGAAGTCACATGTATTTAATTATTCGCTAGTGAGCCAACAGTTTCATTGCGAATTTACATTACATTTTGTTATAATACAGAATGCCCAACAAATTGTTAGAAAATTGTGACGATAATTTCAATCGTGACGAATCCTTAGAAGCTTGATCCTTAATCAGCATTATAATCAGAATATTATAGTCAAATATTCTTATCATTTTTTTTCAGGAGTTATGTAATCAATAAATTAAATCAATCGTATTTTTACTTTCTCTCCGATTAAATCAATCATATTTTTACTTTCTCTCCGATTATGTCACAATATTTATCAGATATACAAATCACTCTCTTTTCTTATTTTATTTTCTATTAGTACATTCGATGTTTTGACACGCAATGTTTCGTGATGTAAAAAATTGCGTAGGAAAAATATATGTTATTCGCTACAATCGCTACCTTTCTCTTTCTTTGATGGCTTGATCATCAGTGGTCGTAAACTCGAATATTTTGCATCAAAAACTAAAATAATGATTGATAAAAAAAGCGTACACATTCAGAATAAAATAGTTAACTCACGAAAAAATGGCGTGTAGGTATAGTTCAACTTTAGAAGTGATAACATAATTGCGCACACAGTTTATTGAGATTAGAAAAATTACTTCGTAAAAATAAATTTTAGTTACAGATTTTTTTTCTTAAAAAGTTACCGATTTTGAAAAGTATAAAGACTATGGCATATAAAAATATTTAAGCAGTAAGACACGAAGCAATAAATCAATCTTTATTTTCGATTCATTACTGCTTACAATATTGTCTTGTGTTTTTACCATGATTTGCCGATTCGTTTATTGCTTATATCTTACTGTTTCTTGTGTGCCATAGTTTTAACACGTTACAGTTATAGTAATACTTAAAAAATAAAAAAATCATTATTTTTCAATTATTTTTGTTAATTTTTTATAATATTTTGTATTGCTATTTTAAATACAAGAATTTTATATATTTCTGACATTAATAAATTATTGTAATTATTTATTACAATTATACTAAATAATTTGATTGTGTACGCTGTATTATTCATAGACAATATACACTCTTGGAATAAAAAAAATTATGAATGAATATTAAGACGTATTCACATATTAAAAGGCTTCTAGTAATTTCTTAATACAGACATTTATAGAATATGATAATTTTTCAGAAATAAAGAGATGTATTTTAATCACAAAAAATAATCATTGATTATTTACTGAGCACATGTTTTGATTATATATATTG